CGTCTTTTCTGTGTTGTATTCCAATTCTGAAGGAATTTTCTTTGTGCACAGTATCTTTATGTGGCTAGTATATATAGAATTTTTTTAAAGTAATGTTTCCATTGTGGCACCCTTGGGTATTCTTGTACAGAACAATCTCTCAGTAGCCAATGGATACTCAGACTAGTCAGAGAATTGGATAATGAGGTTTTGTTAGTTTGTCTGTTGTTAAACATGGCATTCAGAAATATTCCAACTGTATGTCAGGCAGGGGCGGATACAGCTGTTTGAGAAAGGGGGGGTGCACACTATTGAGAAAAGGAGGGGTGCACAATTCATTTTCACCCGAAGTTTCAATGGTCATTTAACAAACTTTCAGCACAAAAAGGGGGTGCACACCCTGCACACACACACACACACCACACACACACACACACACTCTGTCAGGCATCTGTAAATAAGCAAGTATGGACCAGCCATTTATTGACACTTTGAGCAAGGAACCATGTTGTCCTGGTATGATGGTACTGTTATCTGAGGGCTGGGTGGAAAAGGGGTATCATGTGGCAGCAGTCACCTCATATGTAGGAGTGAAACCAGTCACTTATCACCACTTGTTCCACTTGGTGGCCTCTGATGACCAGTATTGGCTGAGGACCAGTATTGGCTGAAGACCAGTTCTAACCCAGAAGTCCCCTACTGGGGTTATTAAGGTGGTTACAATGTGTGTGTCTTTTCCTACCCAGGTTGCGCTGTATGCTGTTCATGCTATAAACTACTGTCCCAGAATCATTTAACAAATTTACAAGGTGCTCACTTTTTAATATGTCACTGCCTTGCTCTGTGTATCTCAATTACAATGGAAGAATCATTTCCCACATGCACTTGTGATAAAAACATTTGTAAACATGCTTGATTTGCTGTTTCCATCAAAAGGACAGGTGTGTACACAAAATGTAACCCCCATTCAGCTTGTGACACTTACATACCATCCAAGATTAGATTGCAGAGAATTATTGACCACTGTCGGGAGCTTTGTTGCAAAGCTATGAAGTGGATGTATGGTGCACTGATTGAGGTGTCTGACACCTGAAACAGGATTGGTTCTCATCACTTTGACACATTGGCTTAGAAAAAAATAACCTTGGTACAGCTGTATGTCCTTTGTCTGATAACAAATAATAATTGTGATAGAGTTACACTTAACATTTCATTAATTTTGTCAATTAAAACATTCTTATCATGATGTGTATGACAGTCTCCAACTGACCGTTTGTTCCCAGAAAGGTTGACTTAATTGCTTGGCTTCTGACTTTCAAGGGGGCGGTGGGTAGCCTAATGGTTAAAGCATTGGCTCGTCACGCCGAAGACCCGGGTTCGAATCCCCACATGGGTACAATGTGTGAAGCCCATTTCTGGTATCCCCCGCCGTGATGTTGCTGGAATATTGCTAAAAGCGGCGTAAAACCAAACTCAGTCAGTCAGTCAGTCTGACTTTCAAAATACTAGAATATTTTTGTTCACTGAAGGTCAGGTAGGTCCCTTACAGTATACTACAAATTGAGTCCAATGAATGTTATACTAACCATACCAACATGCTGTACATATATAACATATAGTGTTTTATCAGTTAAAGTCAACAACTGACTCCCATCAACTTCACACAATAATAACTACAGAAAAATTACACCTCCCTCTACCAAGAGAAGCATTCATCACCCTGACAAGGACAATTACCTCCACTACAGAGGTGTATGACTTGTTGGTATACCATGACATACACAGAATAGTTCATCAAGTTAGACACAGCACACCAATCCAGGGTCAAGCACCAATATACTGGTGGGGTCTATCTCCATTTTGTCACCTTGAGGATAATACAGACAAGACAGATGAGTGATATGGTCAGAAACTACCCAGGGTCAAGCATTGATACATACTGATGGTGCCCATCTCCACTATGTCTCCATGAGAGCAAAATAATATACCTGTCACCTGTGTGTAATATACCTGCAATAAAGGTCGTAGGCTACATGTGGTCAAGTGCCATTCTATGTTGGTGTGACACCCTCTATAGATTCTGAAGGGTGTTAAGTGATCTACTTGCACACAGACCATGCTGATCTCAGCATTATTACAACTCAAAAGATGATAAGCACCTCCCCATGATAGATGATCTATAGTAATGTGAATGAATTGGGAGGTCCTTTACTTTTTGTGAGTAGCATACATACATGAACCCTGTCAACAGGCACTCCAACCACTTGGAGTAGTAGTCATGAGACAAGCAAAATACTTCAGTTGTCATTGGCTCTGTTGGTTGTTTAACCTCACACAGCAATATTTTCCAGTTATAACACAGTGGAATGTAAAAAGTCAAGCCTTGATCAGGCCCAAATCCCTCACTGATAAAGTGATATTAATCCCAAGGGGATCATAATCCTAAGGGGATCATAATCCTCAGGGGATCATAATCCTAAGGGGAGATAATCCTAAGAGCTCAAACTACATGTCCAGGCCATGATTTTTTTAAACAAACGTAAGTTTTTACTCAAATTTCAAACTGAGTTTGACAATTTGAAACAGCTGGATTTTTAACTCAACTGCATTTAAAAAAAAAAAAGGCCAAACAACTAATCTATCCACCACACTCAAATTGTCTATGTTTGAGTTAAATATCGATTTCAGTTCATTCATGGGAAATGCATTTTCTTAAATTTGAGTAAAAACTCTTACTTAACTCAAAACTCAGACGTAAGTTTGTTTCGAGGAATCGGGGGCAGGTGTCCTTGTCATAACCCTAGTGTTACAAGCTAAAGATGTTGGGGTCTCCAGATTCAAACAACATAGAAGAAAACCTCAAGGGCCCCAGGATCCCCCTTAATTTCCAACACGGATCTACAAGAATTAGCCTCCCGTGAGCATGTTGACCTTGATGAAAGAACCATTAGACAGCAGAGAGATGACACTGGGTGGTCATGTTTGCATCAGGCTTAAAACAACTCTACAGGTGTTTGGTCAACATCATTATGTAAAGTAATTCACACTCTGGTTTTCAACAGTGGCATAGTTGATTCTGTTAGAGGGCATACTTGTGTTACTTTGGAACAGCTGAATTTCATGACGATCTAATAAAACCTACTTAACATTTGCAGAACATGCTTAAGCAATACTGAGTGCTTTGTTAACATTTATGACAAAACCAGAAAAAGAATAGAAGGGTTGTTTCCAATTCATAGCATTCAAGGGTGAACATCTTATATATAAAACATCAAAGCCAGAGAAAGCCAGCCTTGATCATAAGTTGAAACAGATAAGGCCAAATACCTTGGAGAAATACAGTCATCCCTTGCCATAACATGGGTCTTGAGGTCCATGGATGACCTGCCGCATTATGAGATACCCGCGGTATACATTGGAGCCACGGACTACCCCGCAGTTTAACTGAATCCGTGGTATCACGAAGAGCGTTATTGAGAGGGATGACTATATGAATGGAACACTGAAAATCAGTGTTGACACCAGGTGTTCTTAAGCATGGGAAGTTACATGGTGACATGCAAAACAACTTAAACATATTCTTCTTTGCTATTTATTGTCTATGATAAAAGCTGGCGGATTTTTTATTGTAGAGGAATATATTTGTGAGTAAAGTTCTTCGAACTGAAATGTCTTGAGAACTAAAAATGTACTGAAGATAGTGGTGTAACGATTCATCGAATAGTATCGTCAACTACACGATACGAGTGCATCAATACAAAACACATTTAGGCAATATATCAGGATATTTATATCGCTAGGGTCCATGATACATCGATATATATCGCCACGAGACGATATATCCCAATACACCTTAAATATTACTTAAAGTTGTAAGGAGTATTGCATTAGGATGGGAAGAGAGTCTCTTTGAATTTCATCTGAATTTTAAAAACAAATTGAACCTTAAAGGAATTTGTTTGTGTCTGTTATCTTTGATACATGAACAAAGGAGTTGGTGTACAAGTGAAAGAATGTTAACATTTTTCAAACTCCGTGAACTGTAGAATACTTGTCTTCAAGTAATTGAAATATGTTTTAGTTGTTTGACAAATAACACCATTTATTGTTTAGATTTAAGAAAGACAACTAAGAGTAGATAAAATATAGAATGCATACTTAAAGTTTTTTCCTGTGATTCTGAATTCTGATATTAATTACATTGAATTGTTTGTGAAAGCATTGGTGCAGAAACAGAACTTGCCAAGGGAAACTTCAATTTCAAATTTATATATGTTAGATCAAGGTATACTGAATATGTGTGACTGTAATATCTTAAGCATTAAATGCTGAAACTTTATTAGATGTGTGTGAATGTAACACAAGTTATGCTGTATAACAAATGAAGTTTCAGTCATTTTATGTATCATATATGTTCTGTTATTAGAAATGGTAAAGTATCGGGATACATATCGTATCGCCATCATTGCATCGTGATGATAATTGTCTCGCAGGATCCTTGCCAATACTTTCATGATATATCGTCTTGCCTCATTAAACTGGTATTTGGATATATCGTCTCGCCACTTAGGCCACAATACACAGCTCTAATTGAAGATATGTGAGAAACAGGGATTGGGAAAGGCAGGGGCCATGGGCCATTTAGCACATTAGAATAAAAAATGTCCCATTAAAATTTTGAAGTTTGCTATTGATGCAAGGGCAGTGGCCCATTCTACATTCAGAAAATGGCTAATAATCCTGAAAATGACCCATTGTCAAAGTTCTCTATCCCAATCCCTGGAGAAAGGTAACAGATTACAGGTTAGACAAATGAAACCCAGTGAACAGATCCATGTTTGTAGGAAGGTATCATAAGTGTCTCACACAAGTTGTTTCCTTCTTGAAATAGTTTAAATTGGGACAAAAAAATTAAGGTTGTATGAGAAATGAAAAGGGGACAGGAAGGGAACTATTTTTTGCCTCATCAATCTGATCACACCATGATTGTGATGACCATCTTTCTCAACAGGTTCTCCTACCTTGAAAACAGTCTCCATGGCTTGCACCTCCTGTGACTTCATGACACCAGCTGCCAGCAGATGAGTACAGAACTGATACACCAGCACCCTCAGGTCATGCTTCGTCAGGAATGTGTGCAGGTAGTGGGTGTCGTCAAACCATGACGTCAGCCACTGTGCCAGCATCTGGCCTGGAATAGTGGGGAGTAAAACCAGTAGTAGCACTATAGTAATAAAGGAACATAAATACAGAATGCCATTTAGAGAGTGGTCAAATGTAACAAATGTTATATTTGGAATTACACTTTCTCAGTAAAGTACAGATTCTAGTACTTTTAATGGGTTGAGTCACATCCATGATTCGAACCCCCCATCCCCCAGGATGCCAACAAAAGTATTAGAATCTGTACTTTACTGAGAAAGTGTATTCCCAAATATAACATTTGTTAAAAACGTACAAATAGATGCATCCCCACAAATTAACTAGAAAATATCACTAGTCTGAAACATACCTGATTGAAAGGAGGCCACATTGCTTTATGCAAGCAGACAAATATTTAACATACATCCAGACAAGTAGTATGTGATTGTCTAATGAACATTATGTATTTTTCTTTGAGTCTATGTAATTTCTACAGTGTTTCAGGGGCTTGCAATTCACTTAGATACATGGGGTAAGTGTTTTTTTAAAAAGAAAAATAATATCAAAATGTGATCAAGATTTAGTAGACCCACATAACGTTCTCAGTGTTCACGGTAGGAAAAATAGCTTTGCTTTCCTAAAACACATAGCCCCAAGAATCTTGTGCATGCATGCATCGCAGGTGTACGCAGCCAGAATGCGGCGAGGTCTCTCAGCATTTCCTTGCATTTCAGAGCATGTTGTCATCATTCACAAGTCAAATTAGCTGAGAGAAACTTTGGGAAAATACGTTTTTGGGTTACTTGTTCCCAGAACACAGAATGCTTTGCGTGCAGAACACGCAGGTAGAAAATATTGTGTGTGAATGCAGATTAATTTGCGTGAAACACGCAGGTTTTTGCATTAACACGAACACTGGTTCTGCCATCAAAACCTACCTTCAAATACCTCCATTTGTGAGAAATCCAATTTGCCAGGGATGGTTCTGGGGTACTTGACTGCATCATCAAAATTGACTGGTTTGTATGCATCTCCTTTAGAGCTCTGTTTAGATGGAGTTGTTATCTTGGGGCTGGATTTGTCAGAGTCTGTAGTAGACTCTCCAGGCACACCTGCCACTTGGATGTTGGTGATGAACTTTTTGTCACCTGGATCATCATCAATGTCTGTTTCCACATCGTGAAGTACAGCTTTTTGTTTTGGGGAAACCTCATCTTTCTTTGAGGGTGTACTAAACCAAGCCCGCAGTCTCTTTTCATCAAGATCTCGAGCAGCTTGGTCAAGGTCAGTGGCCAGTGGTCCCCTTGGACCCCGAGTTGGCCGTCTTGATGAGTAGTGCAACTTTGGTAATTGCTTCTGCTGCAGCAGTAAATGTTCACCACTTAGAGACAAACTTCGTGGAGGGGCTCCACCTGAAACACCATCTATTTCTTCATCATCCAGAGGAATATCACTTGCAGACATAGTTCTAGAAGTTCGGGGAGAGACTGATCTTGTTGAGGATTTATCAGACGTTTGGGTCAAGGTTCTTGGAGAATGAGACAGTTCTCCAATAGCAACATCACTAATTGACAAAGTCCTTGATGATCTCCTTGATGGCTGTTCGGATATAGTCTTAGCTGAGCTGATCAATTTAGCTTCTGAAAGTATAGAAGTAGGACCCTCACTAGATGATACTTCTGGTTGTGGTTGTGGCTGATCAAGTGCTGAATTGGAGAGACTCTGAAAGGACAAATCAGAAGATTCAGTTTCTGTTGAACTGGACATTTGAGAAGAGTCAGACTTGGAAGTCTTTGGGGGTGAGTCCTGCTTGTCGGCCACATTTGTGATTGAAAGACTCTTAAATTGAGAAATAATGTCTTCAGCAGCATCAGTATCTTCCAAAGATGATGATTTCTCTGCTGGAACTTCTTTTGTAACAGTCTTTGGCAATGTATTTTCAGGTTCTTTTTCCAAAGGTTTCACAGTCTGTAAAGCTCTTGCAGCTGGTCTTTGTCTCCTAGGTCCAGAACTTGAGGATACCGAACGGGCAGCAGGAAGTCCGACAATGGAGTCTGTTGGTGTTTCAGTTACAACCTCCTTATCCATAGATGTTCTTCTTGGTGACATTGGGGCATTAAAATCAAATGAAACAGGTGGAGGCAGTGGATGAGATGGGATACTAATTGGTTGTGAGAGAAGAGCTTTCAGGGCATCCTCAGTTAGACTTCGTGATGCATGTTCAATCGGTGGTGGCCTTCTCCGAGAGGTTTGTGATGGTGGCTCATCAGTAGTGGATGGGACACTTGTCGATCGGGACATAGGGGTGGTTGTTGAATGTACAGGAGCAATTGCTTCATCCTCATGGCGAGATCTTCTTCTAGGAGATTGAGATATAGATTCATCTGGAGGAGGAGGAGGTGGTTCTGAAGGAAGACCAGGAGGTTGAGAATCAGTGGATTCACTTTTATCGGAAGAGAATTTGGGTTGATTTGTAATCCTTGACCTCCAGCGCTGAGATCTGGACGCTGAACTTGGCTCTGATGGTTGGGATCTGGGACTTGTCTCAGCAGGCATTGGTGGAGGAGGATCTGAAGGTAGAACAGGCGGCACATCTTGGTCAGCAGAAACATCTTTCCTAGCTGAACGCCAACGAGATTCCCTTGATGTGCTGGCTCCAGTCTGAGTCTTGTCCGAAAGGATTATTGGTTCATTAGGTACAGCATCATTAAAAGTTATATCCCTGATCCTGGATCTTGATGTACTGTGGATTTTAGGCTGAGATTCATCACTTAAACGTCTCCTGCGAGTTCTGGTAGATTCTGTTTTGTCTTTGTCCTCCTCCATCATGAAAGGATATGATATAGATATATGATATGACTAATTATCACAGTAGAACATGATATGTAGAATGAAGGAAATACTTGGTGGTCAGATCATTCTTTCTTGCCACCAATCTCTATGTTTGAGACTGGGTCCACCCTCTTCCAGCCTACACTGAAATACATAGAAAAATCATGATTAACAAGAGTATAACATATATAAACATCAGTGTCAAATGACTAAAATTCTGTCCTTGTCAACACGATCAATATGTGAGCAATTATCAGATAAAATAACATAGGTTTTCCTTTAAGAGCTCTCTACAAGAATTTCTTATAAGATCCTGAACAATGCATGCTTACCTAATTCCAGCCAAAAAAACCCATTCAAATATGAAAAGCCTGTTTTCCACCTTTTTCTTTCCAAACATGTCTCGGGTTAGTCTGTCTCACAGTCCCTGAACCACATTATTTTCCCTACTGCCAAGCTCTCTCTGCAGTGCTCAAGCCCTAAATATAGCAAGTCTAGATTTCCTCAGGTTCTGAATCTCTGGTCTCCCTGGGGCTCCTTTTCAATTTATATGGGCTTGTTTGTTACTATCAAAATTATATATATTCAGGGACTAAGCATTAGTCTAGTTCGGGTAAGCTTTGCCACATCAATATTTGAATATACCATTAACAAGACAGCTCTTTCAAAAGACAGTTGGAAATATATCATGACATAAAACTGAATATAGATTGTGGTGTAAAGGGAAAAATAGTTGTGAAAATTATATGAATGGACCACAGAAAATCAATGATGACACCAGGTGTTTGTGACAGAAATGCATGTCCTTCACTATCAGCCATTAAGGTTTTGAAGATTCACCATAACTTGGTCTCATTGTAGGGCTGGGACGGGTCCAAATTTTCTACCCGGGTACCCCACCCCTATTACCCTACCCTACCCGGATACCCGTTATGTTAATTCCCAGTCTAAGTAAACTTAGGCTCAGTATTATTCGTTACACTGCTAAACTGAGTCTAACGAACCCTAGTAGAAGGTCGCGTCAGCTGACCTTTTGGACTGACCAACTTGAATGCTATTTTCCGCATAGGTATTGAGATGGGTACCTGGGTCCAACTCATTACCCACCCGTCCCGGGTATCTGTGGTACCCATCCCAACCCTATATCATTGATATATGCATGAAATAATGCAACTTTAAACTTTAACTCACAGATTAGCATGTTAATTAATTATCTGTAATTAGTTTGAGCACACTTTGAGATGGGGGTTTATTTGGTTACCATAAACTTTCTTCCCACTATTCTTCTGTTCTCTCAGCACATAATCAATAAATACATGATGTAGAGGTCACTTCATAACATTAATGTCATGATTGTCAGGGGAATTAGTTCAGATGATATCACTTATCATTATGAAGAACATCCTGTATCATAATTAAAGCATTTCTTTAAATATTTCGTAACAGGTGCTTCCAGTTTTAACATGTATTTTATTACCAACTCATACCATTTTGTAAAAATAACACAACAATACATCATGAAACTATCCGATGCATGATGACATCTGTAAAATTTTGCTAACATAATTACAACAACAATTTGCATTTGTTCCAAACTGTCTGTCCCTTTATGAAGTTTGAATTACTGTCAGCCTAACACAGACCCTGATTACTACCACTAGCTTGATCTGTCTGAGCACTGTGAAATCTGGTTAGTTTTGTCACAGGTAGAAACCTGGAGAGTATTTTATGAGTGTTTCAATATTTTCATGCATTTCCACAAAAATAGCCAGTGCATATTGCATTTACATGTATATTCATCATGCAAATTATCATATTCATTATTATTGCATACATATGACATATTCAATCACATTTCCAATATCATCCTTGAATAAGATTCATACAAGATCATATTTGTAGTCCAGTATGTTCAATATATTGTTACTGCAAAGCATCAATATTTTTAAAGTTATTAACAGATGTGGTATACCTGCTACGAAAAAAAGTATAGTCCTTAATTAGATATGTTTTGCATTGAAAAAGAAACATTCCTCAACACATTATACGTAATCAGAATGGTTCTTTTTAACATGGAATATTCATTAGAACCGCTGATTAACTGAACACTTCAATTTTTACACGGAATCTTACAACTGCAAACAGCATGATAACGAAGGTTAAAGCTGCCAAATCACACAGATCTATTTCAGAATCCAAGACTTGGGAAGAACCCTGACATTGTCATTGTGTACATGTTACAGGATCATCTTTCATGTAGTCATAAACATGATAGGTCTGTCATGTCTCTGCAACATATGCTCGCTTTTGTAATGCATACTTTTGTCTGTTTGAAGTGAAAATGTACCGATGAATTTCACTTTAAACAAAAAAGTAAATCAAATTAAGTGAAATTAAGATTGCGAATCCTCATAATTTTACCTTGCCAAATGAACATTTAAATCTCAGAATTTTATTCAACTTAGGATTAAAGTTGTTTAACAAACGATCATAGATTCAAATCGCTATTATTGGTTTGTATTACAAGGGGGTAAGCGCAGTAGTTGGAACAGTGAAACAAATGCACGTGCTGTATGTGATGAGCGTTAACTTAGACCAGCCCTACTTGTTCTCGGTGTTTCATCTAATGTGCATACCCCCTTGTAATACAAACCAATAATAGCGATTTGAAACTATGACCGTTTGTTAAACAACTTTTATCCTAAGTGGAATAAACTTCTGAGATTTGAATGTTTAGTTGGCAAGGTAAATTTATGAGGATTCGCAATCTTAATTTCGCTTTAATCGATTTACTTTTTTGTTTAGAGTGAAATTCATTGGTACGTTTTCACTGCAAACAGACTATAGGACAAAATGAATAAAATATATAATATCACTTTTCTCATGAGTGTTGATTATTTTCATTACTGTGCTGCCTCATATTGCTGATCTAGCCATAACTAACACATTGATTGCTTCCTTTAATACATTTGCAGTGTCAGGCCTCACACTTTCATCTCATGTTTGTTTTTCAGTTTGGACTCAAGTGCTTCACTTGCCTTTGTAATTATGAATTCGTTTTGTATTCGCTTGTATATATTCTGAATCTATACACAGGAATGTGCAGGTTATCCTCAGAGGATTTGTAGTGTGGTTGTTGGATATTTTGACAATGAACAATATCTTCCAGCACCAGTTCATGGATAACCATAAACCACCAGAATTTTAATTTCAACATCAGTATAAACATTTCACGTGCGATTTTCATCAGGAACCAACAATCGTGTCAATGTACATTTCAGGAAATGGAAATATAGAATGTAAACTTTTGTATTATAGATAGTTAAGCTTCGAGCTAAGAAAGATTGCCTCTACACTCTGCAACCATCCAACACCTCAAGAAATACGTTTTACTTTTGAGTAGCTATAGCATAGTTCAGTGTGCACCTTTAATGAAATTACCATGGGATTCCATAATCAAATAAGCGTCTCAGCTGAGCTGTCAAATGTCATTTATGAATTATTCGTATCACCAACCGTCCCATTTTCACCATAAAAATCAGTTATTTTGCCCATATTTTCATATTGTTTTGCAAGCATTGGATAGAAATAGCTACTTCTAGCAGACATTCATTTTCCCACGCCCATCGAATCAAATACCTGTTTTTATTAGTATTCCGCCATGTTTTGCGACTGCAAACAAAGGGCGCATAACTCTAATCTATTATTGTTGTAAAAAAACAGTGCTTATCTCCCTTTGACATTTCCCGTACTTGTGTTAGTCCCATGGATGTCTTAAACAACCAGGGCTCTGTTCCATAAAACAATCGTTGTGCTAAGGTTATCGAATACTTTAACACAAATCTACGATCCCTTTGTAGAAGGATATTTTGGTTTTGGTCTGGAGAATTAGTTATAATTAGTTGTTCTTTCTACTTTTCATTTCAAATATCAAATGCAACAAATTAGTACGTGGATTTTATCCTGTTAATAAACACAAAATGTATGGAGTACGTCTGCAACCAAGAACTAATTTTATTTTCAGAAACAATATTGAACAATTTCTTGATTTTGGAATACATACACAAAAAATGTACATGATTGTTTAATTAAAAATCTAACTCACATTTGACACATTACATTGGGACTAATTTTGATGATAAACGATTGACTTTGTGACAATCCAATGATTGTGTGAACGTTCACTGACACACAATCAACCAACCCATAGATTTTTAGGTGTTTTGTGTGTGTGTGTAGGAGCTGTTATCCATAAACGTGTCATGGAATACATATTTGATTGTTTAATTAAAAATCTAAATTTGACTTCATTGGAATTCTTTGTTAAACAAAACGAAATTCATTTCTTCAATACTTATACATAAAGTCTTTCATACATATGTTGGGATTCGAACCCGTGCCTTTTGTATGCAGAGTGACCATTGTAATTATTGGGCTGCCCTAACAGCATGAATATTTTGTAAACGTGAGCACTTGTTTACGACGACGGTTCATGTATTTACAGATTAATGGCACACGCGTTTGTCGGTAAAGTACTTGCCGGATGGGGTGAGGTGAGGCGTAATAGGGTTTAATGTCGCGCTGGAGAATATTTCGCTCATATGATGACGTGCATGCGTGTGTATGTGTAGGTGCGGCTGCTTGTACTAGCCCAGACTTAAGCTGGTTTTATAGTGCTAGCCCACTGAGATATCATGCCGCAGTGAAGCATGAATACCCCACTCAGACACATTATACTGACTCCGAGTCGACCAGTCCTTGTTGTACCCATTAATGCCGAGCGCCAGGCAGGGACCAACAAGTACCATATTTTAACATCTTTTGGTATGACGCGGTCGGGGATCGAACCCGCGACCTTCCGCTCTCCGGGCGGACGCTCTAACCACTACACCACGGATGCGGTCACTTGCCGGATGGACAAAGAAGTAGTATGACGTTATGATTACTTCAATAAATGGACGATAAAGCCATCTAAAGTCAAGCACTGCATTGACGACATGTAATCGAAGGTCAAGCACTGCATTGACGACATGCAAAGTGAGTGACAGAGTGAGTATTGCTTTACGTCGCTTTTAGCAATATTCAAGCAAATCACGGCTCACTCTTGAAATGGGCTTCACACAAGGGAATCGAATCCGGATCTTCGGCGTGACGAGCGAACGCTCTTACCACTAGGCTACCCAAACGTGTAAAGTAATCGAAGGTCAAGCACTGCACTGATGGCACATAAAGTAATGAAAGGCCAAGCACTGCACTAACGACATGTAAAGTAATCGAAGGTCAAGCACTGCACTGATGACATGTAAAGTAATGAAAGGCCAAGCACTGCACTAACGACATGTAAAGTAATCGGAGGCCAAGCACTGCACTGATGACATGTAAAGTAATGAAAGGCCAAGCACTGCACTGACGACATGTAAAGTAATGAAAGGCCAAGCACTGCACTGATGACATGTAAAGTAATGAAAGGCCAAGCACTGCACTGACGACATATAAAGTAATGAAAGGCCAAGCACTGCACTAACGACATGTAAAGTAATCGGAGGCCAAGCACTGCACTGATGACATATAAATTAATGAAAGGCCAAGCACTGCATTAACGACATGTAAAGTAATCGGAAGTCAAGCACTGCACTGACGACATGTAAAGTAATCGAAGGTCAAGTACTGCACGGGCGGTGGGGTAGCCTAGTGGTTAAAGCGTTGGCTCGTCACGCCGAAGACCCGGGTTCTAATCCCCACTCGGGTACAATGTGTGAAGCCCATTTCTGGTGTCCCCCGCCGTGATGTTGCTGGAATATTGCTTAAAGCAGCGTAAAACCAAACTCAGTCAGTCAAGTACTGCACTGACGACATGTAAAGTAATCGAAGGTCAAGCACTGCACTGACGACATGTAAAGTAATGAAAGGCCAAGCACTGCACTGACGACATGTAAAGTAATCGAAGGTCAAGCACTGCACTGACGACATGTAAAATAATGGAAGGCCACGCACTGCATTATCGACATGTAAAGTAATCGGAAGTCAAGCACTGCACTGACGACATGTAAAGGAATTGAAGGTCAAGCACTGCACTGACGACATGTAAAGTAATGAAAGGCCAAGCACTGCATTAACGACATGTAAAGTAATCGAAGGTTAACCACTGCAATGTATCGAAGAGTAAAGTCGGCGAATGTCAAGTACACTTTTGCCAGGTTAAGTGTTGTGTAGGCGACATGTATCATCGAAGTTCAAGTAATGTCAATCTACACATGGCGTCAGCAAAGACGGAGCACTTTTATCAGAAACGTAAATCTAGTAGAGTTCAGGCACTGTCTACGTTTCAGCAGGGACCATATAATAGTTATAATATAATTATATGGTCTCTGGTTTCAGTCAGGTCGAACAGACGACATGTGAAGTCATCGAAGTAGGTCACGTGATCACATCCGGGCGTTTCCAGGCACATGAGTGTGCAGTCTTCAATGGGTGATAGCTTTATTTCTCTGAAATATGTCCAGTTCGTGGTGTTGGGGAACGCAAACTTGCCATCAGTGAAGTCATTCTGGACCTTTCCTGAGAAAAACAACAACAACGTGCAATCATAACCATATATACCGTGAATTCATAATGAGATCAAATTGACGTTACCGCTGAACTACTGCAGTGTTCAAATGGAGGGAATTACTTGTTCCTAGTATCTCAATCCTCTATATCTCATACCCTTTACCGAAATGCGAGCCCCGGATTTGTTTGGTTGTTGTGTAACGCTTTTCCAGCCATGTGACGGCGGTCTGTAAATAATCGAGCCTGGACCAGACAATCCACTGATGAGCATCGATCTACGTAATTTGGTTCCGATGACGTGCATCAAACATGTCTGAGAGTCTGACTCCCCGATCCCGTTAGTCACCTCTTACGATCCCTGGGGCTGTGGAGAATGTAGTATCTCGTGCTTGCCACGACATTGATTCGGGTAGTCAGGCTCGGTAACTTGATTGATTGCTCATGCCTTCAGAGACCGGTTTGTTTCGACCGGACTCAATTACATGTACTTAACTTCCCTATTGGTACCCCTTGAATTATTATTAAGTAGCTGAGGACTATCAAAGATTTTACGAGCGCTTCAAGTTATTTGCCCTCGTTGGCGTTTCTGTGTTGAATGTTTCAGACCAGAAGGATCGTACACGCAGTTGTAATATGGACAGACTTTCTGTTCACGCCAGGCTTGGTACAATCCGTATTTAAATTCGAGTCGGCTTTTACAACAGGCTCGAGGCACTGAGTGTTGGCCATACTGTAGTGCACTTTAAAACATTTACAGTGTTCAGATTACGCGTATTTCGTAGTCGGATATATATACTTCTTAAAATACGTTAAAGAACACATGGTAAGATAAAAAAATTATCTGTACTGTATATCAACTGCCAATACCGACATATTACGCAGCCAGCTTTGATAGTCTAGTGGACAGAGTGTCTTCCCGCAGAGCGGAAGGTCGGCGGTTCGATCCCCAACCGCGTCATACAAGACGTGAAAGGGAGGTACTTGTTGTAAGCCTGCCCAGTAGGCCTACCCAGTACACTGTATCATGAGTGAGGGTTACACTACAAAACCGGCATTTCTCCGGAGCAACACTAGCAGCCAAACACACGTGTACACACAAAACGCTATTCAAATGCAGTAAGCTTGAACGAAACGGTAAACCTCATTTCACGTCACCGATATTGCGAGAGTACGGCGCAATGGAATGACGAAGCAGTTTACGTCGTGGGAACCATTACAACGGCGTAAGAATTGATCTTCAGCAACCCATGCTAGTCGTAAAAGGGATCGGGTGGTCAGACTCGCTGACTTGGCTGACGCATGTCATCGTATCCCAGTTTCGTAGATCTTAGATCACTGGATTGTCTGGCCCAGACTCGATTATTTACAGATCGCCGGAATATTACCGAGTGCGGCGTAAAAACAACAAACAAAGGACCCATAACACAGAGTCACAGGGCATCCCGCGAGCAACATATCAACGGAATGGAGGACGGTTTATGCAGATATAGGCAGTAACATATCTACCTCGAGGGCTAACACGGTTTATGCAGATATAGGCAGTAACATATCTACCTCCAGGGCCAACTCGGTTTATGCAGATATAGGCAGTAACATATCTACCTCCAGGGCCAACTCGGTTTATGCAGATATAGGCAGTAACATATCTACCTCCAGGGCCAACTCGGTTTATGCAGATATAGGCAGTAACATATCTACCTCCAGGGCCAACTCGGTTTATGCAGATATAGGCAGTAACATATCTACCTCCAGGGCCAACTCGGTTTATGCAGATATAGGCAGTAACATATCTACCTCCAGGGCCAACTCGGTTTATGCAGATATAGGCAGTAACATATCTACCTCCAGGGCCAACACGGTTTATGCAGATATAGGCAGTAACATATCTACCTCCAGGGTCAATCACAGGGTTTATGCAGCTCCAGGGCCAACTCGGTTTATGCAGATATAGGCAGTAACATATCTACCTCCAGGGCCAACTCGGTTTATGCAGATATAGGCAGTAACATATCTACCTCCAGGGCCAACTCTAGTGTCCGATAGCGCGAAGTCTTTGATTGTCTTTGGGCAGTCTCCCGCAGGGGTGATAGTCTGGGCACCCGGGGTATCTGTATGCAGGAGCAACAGACGTTGTTATATGAAGCTGAGGATGCTGCTGTTAGACTCATTTCATTCTACATTAATTCAACATGCTTTTTACAGAGGCGAAAAAAGAATTTCAACAAAGGATTTTGTGAGCCGACTTGTTCTGGCGCAGCGCATTTACATGGGTTCACTGATCTGACTAATTACAAATTATTAACTTGGCGACCTTTCATTTTCCTTAATTAGCTCTTGTTTTCTTTTCATGTATCCAGGACACAGTTGCCATTTTCTACATTTTCGGCCATAATATTACCAGTCGATAAGAAATCGCATATACACTGAAAATTCGACAGATAACTCTCTTGGTTCAGGCTAGATAAAACCACAGTAAGCTTTCACAAACATCAACACAGTACCTGGAATCTCACACACATAAGGGTAAGCCGTGTCACAGCCGTGGGTATCCCACTGCATCTCGTCTGGCACGAAGCGGGCACTCATACATGTGTGACCACTTGGTTCACCAGCTGCCCATACTGTCCACGTGACCGGCGTGTCGTCACACCACGTGTAAGTGCCCGCAGTTGAATTTTGGCGTGCACCAATCCAAGTGTAATATCCACCACTGAAAAGACAAGCATGCACATGCAAGAACTTTGTAAAGAGACTTGTACATTTTTGGAGCGCTGTGGTAGCCGAATGTTGAAAGCGTTCGCACGTCTCGCATAAGAACCGGGTTTGAATCCACTCGTATGAAGTCGTGTGTGTCCACTGCCAAGATATTGTCTGGATAGTGGTAACGGTGGCGTAAAATCTTACTCACTTTAATACATTTTATTTAGAAACAAAGGATCATGCAATTCCAAAACTGGATTGTCTTAAAAACCAAATATTGGTTCCTCAATAAACATTAATATTTAATATATAGAGAATGTGATGAGAAATATGATTTGGGGACTAGATAGTTAATTCCTGTAAGTATTAATCGACTGGCATTTTCTGATGATTTAAGCACACGTATGTAACGCCGTCCGGTTTGTATAAATTTTTCATTTTGTTTTTATTCTGTGTTTTTAGCATACAATACATGAATAGATTGTCAGTCCGCCCTAATCGTGTTAACTATCGTATAAAAGGCCAAATGATGTTAAATCTCTTTCGAAGTTTTCCGGAATCCCTCGCAGGGAAGACTGTAGTGTTCAAGTTGTTTACTCGGATGAACCAGGTTCGATTCCACAAATGAGAACAGTGTGTGAAGCCCATTGTCATGTCTTACTGTTTTTAGTATTGTTTAAAGCGTTCGCTCGTCACGCCGAAGACCAAAGATCCAAAATGGGTACAATGTGCGAAGCCCATTTTTAGTGTCCGCCGCTGTGATACTGCTGGAATATTGCTACGAGCGGCGTAAAACTAAACTCACTCACTCACTCCTAGTATATTACTAAGAAATGCCAACTGTTCCTACACCACGACGACAACGAGACTAAAAGGCTAGCGTATCTGACATACTTACTCTAGAGCGATTTTCTGTACCATGTCGTAGATCCAATTGTTTTCCTGAGGCGTTTCAATCTTGACCAATTCCATGTTATGAGCCTGGCAGCATGCACGCGCGCGAGTCCATGTGTACCAGGGATTACTCAGAAACAAGTATTGCCCTTGACCTTCAACCGTATACATTTCTTCAGATAAGACGCAAATTATTATGAAAACATAAATTCATCAATAACATATAAATTTAATACTTTATCTTAAAACTACAACCGTAAAATTTGAAATGAGAATTAGTATAAATTTAAAATACGACACATACATGACAACAAATAAATACTAACAGTTATAATCTTTTACCTATTCAGAGTCTATTTGTATATTTGAGGTTTAAGCGCTACTATTAAAATATTGAAATATTTAAATTTCAGAGGATGTTGAGAATGAATGTTTTTTGTTTTACGCCGCCCTCGGCAATATTCCAGATATAAGATGGTGGTTTGTAAATATTTGAGTCTGGACCAGACAACCCAGTGATCAATATCATAAGCATCGATCTACGCAATTGGGATACGATGACATGTGTCAGTCAAGTCAGCGAGTCTGACCATCCGATCCCGTTCGTCGCCTCTTACGTCAAGCATGGGTTGCCGAAGACCAATTCTAACCCGGATCTTCAAGTGTATCAGAGAATGTACCTTTACAAAGTAGTATATAATATTTTCTGAAAGATGTCTGGGGGACAATTCCATTACATAAAGCACGTGTGTTACCTCTTACGCAGATGCTGATCAACACGAAGCCGAATATTACACGACCGACGTTAGCCATGGCACTGTCCTCCGTCCAACACCCCTTTTGCACAACAGTATGCCTGAGAAGTCTTCCCAGTAACGGTCTCCAGGGATACAAGTGCCAAACATCCAAACAGTAAATATTGAACAATCCCATTTTCATCTTTAATTGGGCGTTTCTACGATCGCTACATTGATTCAGTTTATCAATGTTGGTCGAATCCCCCTATCAGCCCTAGCACAATACAAACAGCTCAAGGATATATTCTTCCCTATTGTTGCTCTCATTGGCTGATTTCGCTAGTAGGTTTTATCAATGCCTTATTACAGGAATTCGCAGAGGTAATAATTGTGAACCATTTTCATACTGAGGTCTGATAATGAACGTTAACTTTTATGCAGACATTCCATGCAAAAATATTTAATTGCGTGAATTTATTTTACGCCTTGTGTGTTGTTGATGGCGAACGGTAATGGTTATCTGACCTATATGTTTCAATCTGACAACCAAAGCCTTTGTTAACGTTACCGTTAACCAAAACCAAACTTTGTTATTTTAGGAGATTGCATTGTGATCGGCCAGCATCCTCTGCTGACATATTTCCTACAAATTTCCTTTGGGGATGAGGAAATATATTTTCTCATAGTTACTTGATGATCAAATTCGATTTTATCGATTTTATTTATGCTATATATACATCTAGCAAGTGAGTAATATAAAGCTCAACATGCGCATAATTTGCTTTCGATTACATGTTCCGAGACGTTGTGTATAACGTCGTCCCATAGCATCCCTGACTCTCTGGTCAAACCTCTTCCGAATTATGATCCTTGGTCGCCTGGCAACCTACCCGTGATTATGTGTAGGGCAAAACGTCTTGGATCAGTGCCATTAAGGTATTCGCCTGATGTAGATAAAATATTATTATAAGTGTATATTGTTTTTCACCGCACTTTCAAACCAGTGATTAACAACATGAAAGACAACTCAGAGTTAGATGACAAATATTAAACTTCTAGCAAACTGCCACGCATCTTTGTTTCAAAACGTTGAATGAGTGAGTGAATAAGTTTTACGCCGCGTTTAACAATATTCCAGCAATATCACGGTGGGGGACACCAGAAATGGGCTTCACACTAGGGCTTCAACGAATCCATTTTCTTGGACTCGAGTACTCGAGGGGTCAGACTTGACTCGGACCCGAGTACTCGAAATTCATACCTTTCCATCAAGCCATAGCATAACTGGCATGGCATTACACAATACGATGATTGTTTGAACAAGGGTGAATTTGGTAAACCATTACAGTTTATGGCATAAAATGTGTTCCGATCATGCAAGTTAACACTTACTTCTTTCCGATTTGGTATCGTCATGTGACTTACATTTCCCATTGTTATAATAATGTAAAATCAAAGACCACAAAATAATACAAAAACATATGCTTGATTATGCATACCCATGATGCTGATTTCATGTATAATTTACTTACATACTAGCACGACAGGACTATGGGGCGACTTTGCCGCCTTGGGTTCAGATTGCTGTACATTAAGAGTAGCACGTGGCCAAGACATAATCAGCCATTGGCTGTTAGTAAATTATGGAAAACCAATTAAATGAACACTTTCAATCACCGCAATCCACTGAATAAGAGACGGTTAAAAGGAGGAATTCTGATTGATATTGATGGACTTTAACAATTCCTTTCGAAATTATTTACTGGCAATTGTCTAATGTTGATAATTGCTTTCAAAATTACGTTTTGAATTGTTTAAAGTGATAAATTATGACTAAGTACTCTGAAAGAGATCATATGAAACAAAAAGATCAACACGTTCGTTACATTTCAAGATGTTTAATTAACAGTATCAAGATTCAAGAAGTTCACTCAGGTATCTGAACATCAGGATATTGACAAACAAATGAATCACTTATCTCGTGTTAACCACATTAACACACAGGTAAACTAACGCAACTGAGTTACGCAACAGAACATAATAATTTCGTTCGCATTGGGTAAGACTGGTCATTTTGCTTTGTTGCGCAAGACAGTTGCGTTAGTTTGCCTGTGTGTTAAGTTGTTAATAAACAAACCACATATAAGAAATGCCTAAGTCCTTAGGCGGTGTAGTGCTGTGAACATTAGTAATCATTACAATCTCAGAGTGAGTTTAGTTTTTACGCCGCACTCAGTACAATCTCAGACACACTTTAACTGATCGAATGCAAGTTTCCATATTTTCTCAAATATATCAACGTAAGTAGTTAACATTAACTTTTAACAGATAAACAAATAAATCATTCACGTCTCTAACGTTTTCACAAATGTCAAAGAAATTGAAAGAACGTGAGAAATGCAAATTAAACTCGAGAGTAGAGCCTTGTAATGTCGTTCAATGACAAAATTTGACAGCCTGTGTAACTGGTAGATTGTCAGTCATATCATTGAAGTGTAGCATCTTCTAACTTGCTGTATCAACAATGTCACTATAAACTTTGAAACATTTAAACTCGAACGTCAATAAGCAAATAGTTTCTGAATTTGAAAACTTCAACACATATGTGGGAGACCGGGAAGTGGCGGTTGAGTGATGTTAGTTACACCAGACTCACTCGACACTGTCTTAGGAATGGGATTAACCGGCTCCACCTTTATAGCGACTGCTGGCACTGGTGGACAAGACGACGTTGAAGCGGACGAGGTTTGTAGAGTATTTCTCAGGTTTTTATTCAGAAAGATGATTGCATCTGCTGTGCTTGAATCAAGTGATGCCCGCTGTTTGGTGATCGTGAGACCGGCGGTAGAGAAAGCTCTCTCAGATGATACACTTGTACAGGGTATGCAAAGATGTTCTTGAGCCAATGTTGAAATTCGTGGAAATAAGTTGGCATTTAGTTAAGAGTTAACGATTTTAGCGTTGACGACCCAGACAGCTTGTTAGGGGCACACAGATAATCATGATACTCAGCTCTGGCATCTTTGTGAAGGTTCTCGTCATCATCGATTTCGATTATGTCATCCAAGAGGAATGACACAGCATTGTCATTCTCACAAAATTTGAACTGTTTGCTTGGCTGTTTGGGTGTTGTTGCTGGCGAATCTGGCTCTTCTTCTGGTTCCTCCTTCACTTGAAGATCAGGAGTTTCTTCTGTTTGATGACGTGTGTGGTTGCGTTCAATCAACTCGATACTATGGTTTTCGATGTCACTTTTTTGATCATCTGTCAGGAACCGCAGATTTTTGTAACAAGGGTCCAGGGCCGTTGCAATCATTTGAGGTCTCTTCCAAAACTCGTCTTTGAAAAGACGCCCTTCCCGCCCTGCAGTGATATCCGTGTCCAAGTCTTTCAGGTGCTTGTTGACTAGCGCAAACAGAAGGGGGTACACACCTGAAGATGTTGGAAACTCTTCGCTGCAAAGGACTTCTGTGGAGGATACTAGTGGCTTCAGTGCCGTCACAAGGTATTCCAGCAAACTCCAGTGTGTATCTTTTAGATTCAATCCCTTGTGTTTCTTCAGCAGCGGGTCATGGAGCACAGCCACGATGACTGTGTGGAGTTCGGCCAGACGTTCCAACATGAAATAGGCAGAATTCAAACGAGTCACCACGTCGGTAATGACATTTTTGGGGGCTTTACCAAGCTTTGATTGATGTTCTCTGAGTTCTTGAGTTGCCAGAGTTGACTTTGAGAAAAACGCTACCAGCTTACGTGCAAACACCAGCATATTCTCAATAGAAGGAAGTTTCAAACCATCATGGACTGCTAGTTGAACAGTGTGGGCGAAACATCTCACATGAGGATAACCTGCTGTCTTTGCCGCCAGAGACACGTTGCTCGCATTGTCAGTAGTTAGGCCGACCACTTTAGCAATTCCAAATTCCTCCTGCACAGAATTTAAAATCCGTCCAATATTCTCGCCCGTATGGCGTTCCTTAGTCAGTCTCACAGTCCCTGAACCACATTATTTTCCCTACAGCCTAGCCTTCCTGTAGTGCTAAAGCCCTAAACGAAGCAAGTCTAGATGTCCCCAGGTTCAGGATCTCTGGTCTCCCTAGGGCTCCTTTTCAATATAAATGGGCTTGTTTGTTACTATCAAAATTATATATATTCAGAGACTAAGCCTTAGTCTAGGCGTTCCCCTACACTCCGTTTAGCGAGGACACACGACTCAAGTACCCAATGGCTAAGAAAGTGAACCGTAACCGTAATATAGCCCTCTGTTGCTATGCTTGTCCACATGTCTGTGGTAAGGGCAACATATGGAATAGCTTGAAGTTTGTTTTTTAGCTCTGACTTAGCTTCGTTAAAAGTATTATGCAAGTAATTGTGGAGAGTGGTTGAGCATGGGACTTTATAGTT